ATTTTTTATGGCATTCCGGTATGTTCATGAGATAGATCCCCCAATTGACGCAGTTAATTATCATTAATTATCATTAATTATTATCGATTATCATTAATTTTCATCCCAATGTTTTCATTATCATGTGCATCATAATCATTAATGATCAGAATTACATGAATTATGTACATTAATCCTGATGATAATTCTGATAATTATCATAATTAATCGTTCATGATAGTTAATTATGGCTTATCATCATTATTGATTATCATTAACTATCATTATTCATGTGTCCTTCCACGTCCTTCCCATTTTCCCATGCTTTCATCAAAGACTCACGCCCAGGCTTGAGGCGATCCTCCACGGATCCGGCGCTTTTTTCGCCCAAGGACATTGAGGAGATCCGCCACGTTTAAAAAAAACCATTGGCCAATGTTAAAACCATTAGATTACCTTAGCGATTTCATGATACTTAATGATAATTAATGACAATTAATGATAATTAATGATAATTAATGATAATCAACCTGATAAAGTGGGCTAATCAAATGTATGAGCCCCAGGATAAATGTTGAGCGGTAAACAGTTAAAGGATATGAAAAGACCCACCAGTTATGGCTGATTGAAGATACTTAAAGAACAATACACGATTTAAGAACAACAAAGTTCTGATGCCATGGGTGACAGCCTATTTGGGAACTTTGACACTTACCCATGGTTTCCAGCCTTGGGCAACTTCCGGGGTGCAACTCGCTGCAATCAATGAGCCTTCGTTCCCAAGACTTGCAGTCACTGATCCGACAGTTCGCAAGGACTTTCGAAAATTACAGTAATGTACCCAACCATTACATAAACCAGATTTTTATGGAATGGTGGGGTAAGGGTACCTACCCATCAATCAAGGGGGATCAGTAATTAATGTATTTTCTCCTCTCATCTCCATGTGACATCGGCCGGGGTGGATTAACTGTCAGACTGTTTGGTCTGCTATTTCCCAGTCTGACACTGCTATTTTCAGGATTTTGGTATCATGGAAAACTGCTTGTCAGGGAAGAGAACATGTCCATTCAACACACATTAATGAACATTGGGATGATAATTAATGATAATGAATAATAATCAATGAATTATCATTAATTATCATTTCCGTCATGGAATTCGTGGATTTTCATGGATTTTCAATTCTAAGGTGCCTGTGTCCTTTTCTGATTTTCAGCGAGATACACTCCCTCTCATTTTTTGTTTTCAATTCACACCTTTGGACCTTTAGAATCCTTTAGATATATGCAAGGGGTAGCCAAAGCCATCCTGGCCATCCTATCCTCTGGGAGTCAAACATGGCAAGAATTCCCCAATTTGGAGGTGAACCAAACCACTACAGTATAGATTTTCGATGATATTTCTTCAGGGTTTCTTCACGGTTTTGCCCATTGAAATCACCCATTGTCTTCATCATCCCAGGAGGATGATGACTACGGCTATCCCCGTCGTGCGAGATTGGAGAAAGCCAAGTCTGTTGCGACCTCAGCGACAGGCCATCGTGATCCGTGGATCTTGGGATACAGTACCTGTATACCCTCTGGCTATGACTAACATAGCCATGGAAAGATCCACCATTTTTAAGAACGGTAAACCATCTATGAATGGGTCATTTTCCATGGCAATGTTAAATAATCAGAGGGTAGTACTTATATACAGTAGACACCGACTTGTCAGTTTGTTTTTCCATCCAACAAAATCTGGTTGGTGGTTTGGAACCATGGAATTTCATGACTTTCCATATATTGGGAATTTCATCATCCCAACTGACTTCCATATCTTTCAGAGGGGTAGGTCAACCACCAACCAGAAATAGTTCGTGAACATGAGGCACAGTGTTTTGTTTGTCATGACTCGTAGGTACCAGGCCGTAGGCTCAGGCTCAGTCACTCAGTCGTGCCCGTCGTGCCCAGTCTGTGGAACCAAAGCAACGGCCCCGGCGCCGCTTGTGGGATGAGGCTGGGTCACTTGTGTTGAAAAAGATGTTCCAAAATTTCACATTTACAACAACCAAAATAACCAAAATAAATAATCCAAAAATAATCCAAAATAACCTATCTCCAACGACCGGACCTGCATGAGAAAATCATGAGAATCCTGTCAAGACCAGCGGATACAACAGAAATTGCATCAACCATTTTGAGATTAAGTTACTCCCAGTGCCTGCTACGTGTGCGGTCAGGATTGATATGAACACGGTGAGGAGTTTTACCAGCGGCTTTTCCAAATGCCAGCCTCTCCAGCAAATCATAGCAACACCGGCAATACTTATAATGACCACCTATTTGCAGTATAGGGAAAAAGTATGAAAAAGTGCCAATTGGCTCATGACTGGCTGCCAAGAGATGCCGGAAAGGGCCTCGTTTCTTTTCCATTTGGAAAGGCTGCATGGTTTGCCGCCTTTAACGCTGCTGGCCAATCGGTTTTCGCTTTGATTCATTGATTGTCATCTACTTCCACGCGCCGCAGCCACCATAGAGCAAATGGTGGACGGCAGATGCGTGAGGTGTAAAAAGGTGTTTGATGGCCAGTGCTCTTCTGCAAACCTCAAAGTTGGGTCCGTTTTCCCATGCCACCCCATACCCAGATCATCGTTGATGGCATACAGTTGTACTCCTACATTCATCTCCCAAATCCGCTTAGTTTTGTACAGTAGGTAGATCTACTAGACATGGATGTTACTGTTACATACTGTTACTAAATATAGGAACAATCCAATGAAGCCAACTTGTCATCCACAATGCCCCTGCCTTTGTCCGCGCATCTTGGGAGTGCGCACGTGTTGAGGCAAGCTGACCAATCCTGCAACCACCAAGGGTGCAGCTGGGGGGGAGTGACATGGTGGGTAAGCAATCTAAAGAATCTCATGCGCAAGATCTTGAAGCATTTGGGCCAGTTTTATGACTATGCGCACTGTGCCTTGCACCTAATATATACAATTATATATATATATATGTATATATTGATGTTTATTACCCACCATATGGTCCCCTACACTTACATCTGTTTTTGTGTTGTATCAGATAGATAGATAGATAGATGGATAGATGGATAGATGGATAGAAAGATAGATGGATAGATATTTTATAGCAGGAAAAGATGAGAATTATTGTGGTCCCCGCTCTTCCAGATGTAGAATAATGATGAATAATTAGGAATTTATACATATAATATAATATATATATATAATGTATACAATGTATATATATAATATATATACATATATTGAGATTGTAGATATCAAGATCTTTCAATAGTCCTCAGTGTTCAATTTATTTCAACTTCACCCCCCCCAAAAAAAAACAGGCGCCACCCGCCCGGGGGCCGCTGGCGTGCCAGGTCAGAGTTCGGAGCCAGTGGACAAGGCCAAGGCGCGCGTGTTGAAAGTCTTAGTGCGGCCGAAGCCTCAGACGATGAAAAGATCCGAAAAACGGTGAGCTCCGCGAGCTCCTGGGAAAGGGATGAAAAAAAAATGGAACCGGGGAGATCTGGCTTAGTTTTGCTTAGTGTGGCTTGGTGAACGTTTTGTCTAATCCGCGGGGCTCAGCAAAAGTGTTGGCAATTGTCCCACATGGATCCACTTGGCAGATATGAATTGGTGGTGACTTTGTCTGGAAATTTATGGTTGTGCTTGGGACATCCTCATCGGCCAAGTCAGTTCAGAAGCACTGAGGCTGGTGGTTGTACTGTTTCTGGCGGAACCGCACCAATGAGAACTTTTGGCAATTCACGCACGCACCTGCAGTTGGGAGTTTGAACACTTGGGGCATGAAAATTGAAAATCCATGGTAACCACCATGACCACTGACAAGAGTTTTGTATTCCAAGCGGGGAATGCAAGACCTATCATGAAATCGACTGGAATTGCTTGGATATCTTGGATTACTTATAGGTTTTGTCAGATTGTCACGCATTCCCCTTTGCGCGGAAATACGTGAGGGTGGCATATATTCACAATATCACAATAGTTCGCGACAGGATTGCACCATGCCCCTGCCTTTCAGGGGGGCTTGGATGGGTTGGTAAATGCTCATTATTAACTCACTGCAACCTTCGTATGTTTTTCGGAGATCAAGTGTGAAATGGCTGGGTGATGTTGGCATGATATATTTCGCCACCCCACTCTTGTGCCGTGTCCTGATTATCCTGGTATGTGCACATGTAGTTATAACCTGCTGTGCAGGATTATCCTTGGATTACTTTGAAGAAATCAGGAAACTAGTTTCATGTCGCTGAACACGTTTTCACAGTTCCACGTGTTTACCGTTTCTTTTATCGTGTCCAAGTTGGAGAATGACCCCCATTCTGCCTGACTTCCAAACAGTTGCGCTCGTACGCCAGGCGGGGCTACATGGACATCATCGATGACATGAACGGGTCGCGGTTCCCCAGGGCTTGATTTGCGATTCAAAGAGAACCTTGCTGAATACGAACATCAAAAATAAAAAATGAAACATGTTGATATATGTTGATTTTTGTTTGGAAGTTGAGGGGATTATTTCAAACATATGACATATATATGTAACATATTGTAACATATCTCTACGCATATCTTGTATTCTGATGTATTTTGTATATCTGTTCGCATTGTCTCATATTTGCCCACATTTATCCACCGAAAATTGGGCCAGCTTTGGGGCCACAGGGAGATCAGCTGACCCTGCCATTTCTCCGCAGCAATTTTGGCTTAGCAACGACCCATAGAAGGAACGACCCTTTCGGCAACAGGACGACAGTGGTGCCAGCGTTAAGTTCGTTGTGCAAGTGAGCAAACGAGCAGAGCATGGTCCCGGGTAGAGGTCCACATGATTGGGTAGAGGTCCACATGATTTGAAGGGCTGTGATTGAAAATCATATATGACCTATATAATTCCATCAATCCATATCCCACACGCTGACACACCGAACAGCCATGTGGAGACCAACAACAAATATTCGGTCTCATATCTTCCGCTTTGGGTCTTCTTGCCGGCAGGACCATGTGGAGAGTTGCTGCCCTGGCCTTTCTTGCCACCAGCTTCGCAAAGGAAGAGGAAAAGAAGATTGATGGACCGGTGATTGGCATCGATCTTGGTACCACTTATTCCTGCGTTGGCATCTACAAGTGGCTCAGCAGAATAAGCTCATGGTCATGAAATCCGGTGGCACTATGTGGCACTATAATTGGAGGTATTTGGAGGTTGGTGACAACGCCATTTAGCAATTAACTCGCAGGATCCACTGTTTGCAAAGTCAGGAAGCTTAGTCAGTCCTTCCAAAGCAATTGCTACAAAGATCAATCCGGGAATGTCATTTTATGTGGCTCA